TATGTGTCTCAGCAGCTAAAACCTACGGTGCTACAGATGTGCTGCTGATGGACTCGACATACAAGAGTAACAGGTGTTGTTGTCTCTTTGATATCTTGATCAAGCAACGGAAACTCATATGAACTACATCTTTTTGGGGCAGATACAAAATGCCACTTCTACACGTTGTAGGTGTCACATCAACACATCAAACACTCTCCTTATGTTACTGTTTCATGCATCGAGAAACTGAAGAGGATTATATATGGGCATTGGAACACGTCAAACTTGCCTACAAATCACTTATATCAAAAGAAGTCGTTGTAGTTACCGATCGAGAACTCGCCCTGATGCGTGGGATTAGTCAAGCTTTCCCGGAAGGAAAAAACTTGCTGTGTAAATGGCATATTAATCAAAATATCAATGCAAACTTGAAGAAATACTTTCCTGGAAAAAACGGAAACGAAGACAGCGAGGATTGGAATAAATTCAAAGCCAAATGGACAGAGGTTTGCGACTCGATTTCTCCCAAAGAATTCGCAGAACGATTTCAGCAACTTCAAGAATATATCAAGCCGGCTGGGTATCAATATCTTGACAAGACTTGGATCAAGTATAAAGAAATGTTTGTCCTTGCCTGGACAAAGGATGTGAAACACTTTGGTCACACAGTTACCTCACGAGCCGAAGGGGGTCACGCCAATATAAAGGGTTGGATATTGGTATCTACTGGCGATCTTCAATGTGTTTACGTAAAGATTAACCTTGCATGCGAACAACAAGTTAACTTGATATCTCATAAAACCTCATATGATTGCACCCACAATCTCATTCAGCTTCGAAGCGATTTCTGGCATCGGGTCCATCGCAAGATTTCACATCACGCATTGATCCTAGTGTGTAGCATCAAGTTTTTTATGATTCAAACTGTCGTATGTTGGCTGAAATCCTTATCATAATCCATAGACCTTGGAACAGTATCAAAAAGCAGTTTCAATCACAACCACATCAACTTGCACATATGTATTCAACGGGTCTCAAGGTTTACCTTGTTCACATTTCATCCGTCACCTGCTTGATTCAGGTGAATCACTCATGATCCAGCACTTTGATCCACACTGGCATTTGAACCGAGTCAGGCATGACTCAAGTGATCGGTCTACACCAACCACCAGTGAATTATTCCACCATCTAAGAATACAACACGCAAACTTACCTCCACATCTTCAACTCACCCTCGAGAACGGTCTCAGCGACTTACTAAAAAACTGTACAGGATCTGTCAGCGATCCTATCCCGATCCGAACTCGAGGAAGGCCTTCTGGGGCCACTTCAAACTCTACCAAAAGAGATCTATCACATTTTGAGCATATGATAGCCGATCAAACTTCAACTCAACCAACAAAGAGAAAATGTGGGCTTTGTCGGGAAGGAGGACATGACAAACGCAGCTGTCCTAATACTAATAGGGCTCTAGAGGCCGAGGCCATTTGAGTCTGAGATGATCATTGCAATTGAAGATTTTACATCCCTTTGAACCAATCATGTGCCACTTGAGAGGTCTTCTATATGTAAGCTCGTCAACAAGGCTTCCGATGAGATTTGAGATCATACATAAGTATAATCTTCATGTCCGATGTAAGTAAATCGAGCGCTGCATGATCGCTCGATTTGAAATGAACAATTTTTTTAAAAATCAGATCATTGAATTGAATACATCTGTAATACAGGGAGGGGGGTGTCCTCCGAGTGAAGGGGGGGGTGTCCTCGCATCAGCATCCTTTTTTTTTTCTTCTCAAGAAACTCTGAAGCATTTCGAGTAGAACAGTAGAAATACCAGCTTTGAGTAATACCTCTCGAATAAGAACAGTGACAGCCAAGTGACAATTTAAACAAACTGACGGGTCGGGTAGTGTAATTACATATACAATACTAAAAAATTGGGGATTCAAATACCCCAATACGATTTTGACCATACTCAACCAACAAACCATCCAGACAGCCGACTGATAGACTTCAGGATAACGAACTGGAGGAGCAAACGAAATATCAGTTAATCTTTAGAAAACTACGGGGAATCGGATCAAAATCGAAAACGAGAATTTCTCCGATCGGACCAAACAACTAACAGACTCCGAAAGAAAAAGGGTACACCGTACTTTCGAATTCGTAAGCCACAGATCCCCTTTATTAATTACTTCAACCAATTGATTCGAAGAGGTCACACTGACCGAATTTCCATCGAATCCTTCCACCAGATCGTGAAAAAAGTTCTACTCCTACTTACCACCGAAAACGAGCAATCGAAAGAAATTCTTTGTGGCAACGAAGACCGTACACAAGCAAGACTTGCGAGAGACACAAGTAAGCCAACTTTCAACTACTACAGATTGCTCAATTAATCTGATAGCATACTGACGGACACCACTTACACAGTGATCCTTCTCGAGAACCGCATCGGAAACGAAACCGATCAGCAATCTAGTCCTTATAAGAGAACCACCGATAGCGACTTATCTCATTCCCCAGAAAAATTCTTTCATCCCAGAACGAACTGTTATTCTAGCATTCACAGATCAAACAATTTCAATCAACTCTTTTACTTTATCAAAGTAATTCACAAGATAAAAAGTAATCGCACTCATACTCACCTTATCTCGTTCCTTAAAAATTCTTCGATTTCTTTTTTTTAATCTTCTTCATTCGATTTGAAAGAAAAGATACTAACAGTGTATTCGAATTTTTTTTTTCCTCATTCTTTAATTGTATCACCTCCAGTGTCTTTTCCACACTTATTCAACTCTTTAGACCTTGCTCATCACGGGACTCCTCAGCAAAACCCAGCCGAAGCTCATCGCACGCACCAATCCACGCCAGCCTTACCGGATCAACCGAACTACGACGGGTCCGTCGTCGAATTCGAAGACGCTTACGGTAATACGTCGCAAGAACCGATACTAATCAACTCTACGACAACCACGCCAGCCCCCGATCCCTTATCGAACATCGAGATCGACTCGCCAGGATCTGACGGTACTGCACGAGAGCAAGTTCGAGCCGAAGGGTCTCCACCAGCGAACTTACTAGTTGATCAACAAAGTAAGAAAATTTTTTTAGAACGCCGATTGATATTTCTACAACTGCTAAGATTATAATTCGAGAACGTGTTGAACTAACACATCATCAAATTTGATTAAACCTGTTCTATTCTCCATCTAGATACTCAAGGGGCAAATCCTGGTGGATCTAATCAAGGACAAGGAGCCCAAACCCAAAGTAAGTCGAGATCATCATCTGATTTCTTATTTTACCATCAAACGATCGAAGAATTCAGGTAATAATCATAATTTTTTCTTCTCTCCTTTACACTCAAACAACCTTGGAAAGATGGACTAGCTCAAGGGAAAATCTCACTTGAATCTGACCTACTATATTTTAGAGAAAAGCATACTGCAAATCTTGTAATAATAAATGCTGAACACATTCAACAAACATTGCACGTATGCCATGATGAGTTTATGTCAGGACATCTCTCAGAAGACCGGACAGTAGACAGAATCAAAAGCACAGCTTGGTGGCCAAATTGGAGACAAGACGTAGAAGAATATGTGAAGACTTGTGAAAGATGCCAAAAAGCAAACAAAGCCACGGGAAAAAGGTTTGGGTTACTTCAAAGAATAGAAGAACCAACATATGCATGGGAAGTCATTAACATGGATTTTGTTACTGGTCTTCCACCATCATTAATTAACAATTACAACTGTGTACTAGTCATTGTAGACAGATTTTCAAAAAGAACCAGGTTCTTACCATGCTACAAAGAGGCGACAGCAATGGATATTGCATTACTATTCTGGGAAAGAATAATTAGTGATGTGGGATTACCACGAATAATCATCAGTGACAGAGATCCAAAATTTACTTCTGAATTTTGGAAAAGTCTGCATACACTTATTGGAACAACATTAGCTCTTTCCACTGTGTACCATCCACAGACTGATGGTCTCAGTGAAAGAAATATTAGTACCTTAACTGAAATCATCAGGAGATATTGCACGGAAGGACTCTGTTACACAGACAAGGATGGACACACACATGACTGGCACACATTACTACCAGCTCTAGAATTAGCATATAATAGCAGCATACATAGCACAACAGGAAAAAAGCCTTTTGAAGTAGAAAGAGGCTATCACTACCCCAAATTACATATTTTCCCAGGAGATTAGAAAATATATATATATATATAGATATATATATATGTGAATTATATATATATATATATAAATTTGCTAATCTCAGAAGATAATTCACAAGTCTCAACCAGTATCACAACTTTTGGCACAAGTTATTCATAGCTGCCTGTTTTCTTTCAAAGTGTCACTATCTTGGCACGTAGTCATTTGGGAGATCTATGTATGTAGTATAATTGCAGCATCATTGTGGAATCATTACGTGTCCTGCCCATTCACTGGAGCTGGTGTTTCAGCACTTAGTAGTAGTACACATGATATATTTACAAACAGACAGGCCACAATGTGTGTCTTGGATCCCACTGGATATTCATGTTGTATGCATAAATAGGACTTCTTAATCGCATTCATTTGAATTAGACAGGACTTAAATATTCCACTTTTCTAATCTCAGAAGATCATTCATTACTGATTGTATTTGTTTTCTCGAAATCTTATAACTTCTCAAAGATTTACTCGTCACACTCATGTTACATAGATTACATGCATGTATCTCACCTTCTTGATTGCTCGATCATACCATGGCAACTGCCATGGAACCATGATGATTTAAAATGAATGTACAAGATCTTTATAATGATATGTCCGGGTATTGTTCACCCATATCCAAACACAAAGAGCCTGCACGCCTGAAAGTCTCAACGGTTAATCCCGGTTAATCACAGCCCAGGTCACAGGTGACTCATAATGATGGTTATAAGATATAAGTCCCCCAATGATCCATTTCCTTTTAGTCCTCTTTGTTGCAATACACTCAACCACTTCATCATGTATATTCAAGTTGAAACCCATATATATCTACCTACTTATATTCTTGAATATGTTGTTGACGGAAGGGTTGATCCTGATATGTTCTTGAGTAAAGCCACTCCTGCTAGATTTTTAGAAGTTATACTAGCTTTTTATCCTCACTTTGATTTCACTCAAGATGCTCGAGAAGATGATGAGCTTCTGCGCAAGATATTTATTGAGATGGTAGCTCTACGTCTATCAAATGTAGTTATGCCATTAGATGTACACACCGGTTACTTTCAAGCACCTTTCAACACTCCGGTTTTATCTGAACCTCAACAATCTTCAAAACGAGTGAATTCCAGCGCTGATATCGATGTCAGTCGCACAGATATGTTCAATAGTAACTGTCTTGCGTACCTCAGGGTTGGGCAATACCGTCATGCGGCCGAAAATATCACTTGCTTCACCAACACTTACACGTTCCTGAATCAAGACGAGATTTTGGAAATCAGTAATGCTTGTGGCGATGCTGAAGATAATCTACATGATACCCTTTCTCACCTTAAAGGAGCTTATCATGTCATCGATCGCATCCAACTTTTATCACGCCAGCCTGATATCACACCAACCGAGGCTTCAAACCTTGACCATAGGCTCAAAGTCGCGATCACTGGCTTGAGATTGAATCAGCAGATGTTTGATAGTGCTGTTCGAGATGTTGGATTTCTCTTAGCTTTGGTCGAACATCACGAGTAAGCGTTTTCATTTGTTTCTTTTTTAGTTTTATGTTCATCCATCCTGATTCTAATATTGTTACGGACGACATATGAAACCAAGAAATCGCTTTGTCAAACATCAATCAACTCCTGAAAAGTCGGGTCCAAATAAAAAAACAACCGAACAGGATTCAACTCCACCTGAAAAAAGTGTTTAAATTACCTCTCATTCTATCAATTGTCCCTGAGCACAAAAAGTTATTACAAGTTGTTGTTGGTAATCCACCTGATTGTACAACACTTGGATCTATTTCAGTACTGTGACTAGCCTTGCATTCATGAATGGATTTTAAAATCAAATGATTACAATTTCTATGAGGTGGAACTTAATTATATCGGCCATATTGTCCAGCAGTTTCTTGCCCTCCTATGTCAAATTCAGACATTATCGTGCGCAATGTTTTCTATGAGATGTCTTTTAACTACATCTGCGTGATTGGATGCATTGCCTTTTTATATATGTGCCTCCCGTTCATAGATGGTTGGAATTGAGAGAACAATTTAGGATTGAGGGTGGGCTCTGACCGCACACTGTAAACATCATTCAACTTCCCCAATTTGGAAGAGGAAAATGATTAATAGTACAGTTTTTCATAAAAGAATCTAATACTGCACACCTGAGCCATTTCACCCACACTACATATGCGCAGCAAGCTGAGTCAATAGTTGTCTATCATGTACATACAGGTCTGCTCAGTTTTTTGCCCATCAGAATAAATAAATCACATGTTATACCACATGTAACTTTTTCGACTTTGGAATTTTTTTCCCAAAAATTTACTACATATCATTCTGTAGCTGCTCAAGCAATATTGTTGAAGCTATGTCTTAGTAACAGAAAGTGTGTTACATGCAGTTGAGTTGATGAGATCACACCAAAACATTGAGTCAGTGTATGTAGTCAATCTTTTGGAAGCTTTTTTCAATCTGAAAGAAGTTACAGCATGTATTACATATGAATAACTTGTCCTGATGAGCAGATAACTGAGCAGAACTGTATGTACATGATAACCACATATTCACTGAGCCTGCTACACATATGTAGTGTGGGTGTTATGGCTCAGGTGTGGAGTGATAGACCATTTTATGACAAATCATACTCCCAATCATTTTTCCCTGCCCACTTGGGGAACCCGAATAATGTCTGCAGTGTTTATGGATAGGTTGTATGCAAAGCAAGAAGGGACTCCGGAAAGACATTGAAAAATTCCCCGCTCATCCTCTCAATCAATCAATAACAGCATGTATAATTATCATGTATCTGAGGTTGCAGAAGTCTTGTGTTTGGATGTATATAGATTCATGCAAATTCACGATTGATGGTTCGTACGATCAACAGGATTTACAAGAATTGGACACGACAGGCGCATTGGTTTGTGTTATATCAAGCACTTGGACACTGAAATGATATATCAATAGCCATCAAGTACCGTAACGTGAGTGACACATGTAGACTATGCATGGACTTGGAAAAGTGGTTTGTATATATATATATCTTATATATATAAGGGATTAGAAAAGGCATACATATAAATGTATATATGTAGGACTTTTCTAATCTCCTGGGAAAATATGTAATTTGGGGTAGTGTATTGTCCCAGATTACCAAAAGACCAAATAAAAAATAAAAATGTTGAATTTCATCCAACTTCCTTAAGTTTCTTTGATATGCTTGGTAAAGCAAGAGCTAGAGCAGCGCAATGTATTGAAGATTCTGTAACTTACAATCAAGAAAGATGGAATAAAACCCATAAAGAACCTAAGTTTGTAGTGGGTGAACAAATTTTACTCTCAACCACCAATTTTACTAATCTACAAGGACCTAAGAAACTTCAAGACCAATTTGTTGGACCCTTTGTAATATTGAAATTCCATGGAAGCAATGCAGTGGAAGTAGCATTGACAGAAGAATTTGGGAGAAAACACCCAGTATTCCCAATTTCACTAATAAAAAAATTTCATGCTTCAGATAAGAGCAAATTTCCTGACAGGGAAATACCCAAGAAAACTCCTATCAGATTTGAAACTGACGGAGAAAAGATTTTCTCACATATCATAAAGCAAAGGGAAATACAAGTCAATGGTAAATCTTCAACACTTTATCTTGTAAGATACAAGAACAGAAGTGCAGATGAAGATGAATGGCTACCAGCTGATAAAGTACCCAATGGCAAAACAACGTTGAGAGACTTCAGAGCACAAAAAAGAGCTCATAAACCTTCTGAAAAGAAGTAATGACCTCCTTTGAGGGTGGGGAATGTCAGCCCTGGGTACATATACATGTACCCAAAACTAACTTATAATATTGTACTTTTACTTATAAACCTTATTACATGTACATACAGCTTATAAAACACATGTAACATATAATAAAACATATACAAACATCAATTACATATGTATATACACTTAAAAACATATGGAACATGTAATAAAATACCAATTACACCTCATAACTCAGTGTCAAGAGTTAAAATGCTTATACTACATAAAATACATAACACGTATATGTAATTATGTTATATTAATAATAATAATAATTAATAGTAATTATTAAACCCTAAACCACAGTGATGATACAATCAAATATCATTACAATTAGGTTTGGAGAGGAGGATATATAAACCCCTCCTCTCTCAGCCTTCAAGGATTTTCCCCCAAGCATTTTATTACACACATCTTTTAAAGAACCCTTTAAAGTTCCTTTGAAGTACATAATCAAAAGTCTTATAAATATAAGACTAGTGATTCACTTCATATCTTTAAAGTAGCTTCCTGACTAAAAGATAAAGTAATCTTACTCTTCATACCCTGGATCCCTGCTTTCCCTAAGCAGAACACCCATATCAGGTTAGTAACCTTCCAATAAACATCAGGTTAGTTACCTTCTGAACAACTACAGGTTAGTGACCTATATCAACTCACAGGTTAGTGTTCCTTCTGAACAACTACAGGTTAGTAACCTATATCAACTCAAGGTTGGTGTGCCTTTGGAACAACCATAAGTTGGTAACTTTATAACAACCAGATTTGTGACCTCATATCACTCTTCAATCAGTCCCTTTGAAGATTGAAGGGAAGCCTTGGATCCAGCTTCCTCATTCTTTACAAGAATAACCTCCTCCTCAGGAGTCAACTAGCTGTAGTCAGTCTGGTCTCATCTAAAACCAGACCTGTCCTCTTTCTCCCTATCTTTTCTCTTTTATAATTTTATTGTAATTACCTTATATTTGCAATATACCTATAGTTATATAAAATTATAAACCTACCTAATCATCCATAGTGAGCCTTGAGTACCTTTTAAAACACTCAACCCTCACAGTAAGATCAAACCCACTAATAAATAGACATGATGCAGTTATATATGCCACAGAGTGTAAGGAAATTAACAACAAGGAGACACTGATTTTCAAACTTCTCTGCACTATAAAATGACACAATTGATTTGACCCAATCCATCAAAAGAACTTGATGATTTTTGATCTCTCAGCAAAAAGTACTCATTTCCCCTCTTGATAATGAATAAAGAAATATATGTTTCAAAAAGAGGTGTAACTTCATTCTGATCTCTAAAAAAGGACCATAATCATACATCCATACAAACCTTGTATTCAGATTAAAGAAGAGATCCATCTATTCATCACAAAGAGAGTTGTCAATTTGTTATTAATTTTGTCATTGATACTTCTCAATCAAAAGATAATTTGACAAATCATGGAGAATGATAATTTAGATTCAGCTTCAGTGACCAGTTGATCCCAAGAGACTGACTTGAGTTCAGATCTTCAACTACTTCAGTCATTTTAAAGTGAAACTCCAGAAGCATCAAATGGAAAAGTGAGTCCATCATCTTTCTGTGAATGAAGGAAGAAGCAAAAATGATATCTTTGTATGGAACCCTATTCCAAAATAGCAAGTTCTGAGACCTGGGTCGGCAAGATTACTTCATCATGTCCCATCCAATCAATCACTACATGATTTCACAGAGACAACAAGAGGTCAACCCAAGAATTTGATTGGAATACCTGATTCAGAATATGGCCAAGGACAGCCAAATTATCAAAATCCATCTTATCCTCAACTTCCTGAATTTGATCAACAAACTCATACAATTGATTCTTCTGATGATAATGAATTTCCAGATCAACTAGACGTCTTCACTCCAACTGAATCAAAACCTATCAATGATTTGAGCTCTTCATGAATAATTGAAATTGTGATAACCAAACTATAATTGTTTTCCATTGTCCAATTCTACTGTAAATTCTACATTTTCTCTATCTATTACTCATCAATATGAAAACTTGATACATGAATTATCTAGTCATTATACTCTTGCTCCACTTTTGATTCAATTTTATGGTGAAAATTCTGATGAGAGCTAATTAAGTCATCATTCAAACAATGGATTTAACCACACTGTTGAAATCAGGAATAGAAATTCTGGAACATAGGTTTTCACTCCTGTGTACTGTCACAGTGACAAAACAAACCCCAACATTCATTGATTGTTTATACTATCAGTAACTGGTTTAGAAAACATTGTGTTCCTCAAAGATTTTGCTGGGCATGAGCCTTATGCAACTGAGTCATTGAGACACTAAATGGTGGGTGGGGTCAACAAGGATCAATCTGTCCAAGTATTATCTTTATTTATAGATCTTGAAGCAGGATACCAATGTTTCCCTGATCTTCTCCATTTGGTCAGGAGATATCAGGTATAAAACAATATCTTGTGTGGAAACTTGCAATATCATTGTACAATCATTCATGGGTATAGTGTGATAATAAACTTTGGGAATGTCACTGCTTTGAGGTACACTCTCATTAACTGTAAAAAATGGCGGTACATGCAATTTCACAACTTGGCACATACCATATTAATATGGCCAGTTGAATGTTTTGGTAGGATAGGTTTAGAAATATGTTATGGAGCGGTGTGGCAGTGCTTATGGTTGCTATGGAGTATTACATGTTTGCAAGGGTGACAAGGCACAGTGTGTTATTTTGGAACAATTTGATACAACTTTTGTAAGAGTCCCCTTGTTGCGGGCATGCCCGCATATTCTCTAGTTGCAATAAAGACACTCAATTTTTTTGTTGTTTAAGATCAATGAAACATCTCAATTTTTTTCTGGAATTTGGTACAGCTACTTTG